TGAGTTAGTTTTTTAATTTTTTGATTAATTTAACTTGAAGTTAAAAAGTCTCGTTTGAAATAAGTTTTTTGACTTTTTAAATTTTTGTGAAAGAAAAAATAAAATGATTATAATTTAAATGTGATATTTTTTCTTGTTAATTTAAAAAATTTATCTTATCCTTTTATAACTAAAATAATCAAAAAAAAAAAAAATTGACATGCCAAACGAAAGTTTTATTATGCGTTAGTGGGGAAGCACAAATGCACACATCTCACTTAGACACACATATACTCATGATTGAAATTTTTTTATTTTTAAAATTAATTAATTAATTATTTATTGCAGAACACTCATGATTCAGGAACCATGTTTAGCCATTCTTAGCGCATTCTCAACTAATTTTGAATCAAATTATAATTATAAATCACTTTTCTATTTTAGCTATCATCTTTTGTATATACATACTATATTAGACTTTATTTTAATTAAATTTTATAAAATACTCATTCTGTATTGTTAAAAAATAGCCAAATTAATATACAAGATTGCCAATTTTGTATTTTTATTATATAGTTTCATATATGCAGTTGTCTGACTGAATATCTAAGTATGTATTGTTTATATATATATGCAGTTTCATATTTATTTGAGGATGATACAACCATGATAATTGAACCCAAGGTGTAATTGAATCATGTTTTATCCATTGGATGAGCTTGAACTAAGTTGCTTATGTATGTATGTGGAGAATTTAGCTTGATTTCTTTCTTTCTCATGAAAGATCATGAAGAACAATATATATATATATATATATATATGATGGTATAGAAGCTAGTCATTTAGTAAGATGTTCGGCCCGATAACCGACAAGATATTCTGTAAATATTATATTTTATATTAAAAAAAAAGAGAGGTAACAGTCGGTCTTCTAGCGAGATATCTGACTGGATCACCAGTAGGATGTCTAGTCACTTTTAAAAATAAATAATGAAATATTGTATAACTTATAAAGAGTGTATCGTTACATGTAACAATGTCAAATTTAATTTTGATATAACGAAATTGATGGAGGAGTGATTTTAAAACTTACCTTATTAATATAACCCAAAAATTATTATAGTCAACCTGATATGATGCTCTATGAGTTGTATTCTAATTTATTGTACACCAAATATCCAATTTAGGAAACATTTTCTTTACACACACAGGTGACAAGTGAGAACCACCTGTTCCAATGTCCTCCACATAAATTTTGTAGTTTGCACAAAATTTACTAAAAAAAATTATTTTAATTTTTTTTGTATCATTTTGTTTTTCTTTTCATTTATAAATTTGAGATCTAAACAAATATTTTCTTAGGTAATGACATTATTCATAGAGGAAAATAATATTTGTACTTGCTTTTTCACTCCTTTTTGTGAGAGGTAAAATGCCAAAAAAAAAAAAAAAAAGAAGTTTTGTGAAAGTGAAAGTAAAGTATAAATATGATTTATGTCGAGAGGTGCAATTTTTTTCTTCGCATAACATGATTTGTTAAAAAAAATCCCAAAAATATTAATAATAATATATGTCCCCACAAAAAGTACAAAAATTATTTTAAAAATAAAATACACACCAAATTTATTCTGGATGCAACATACACCTTATCAAATTTGAATTTAGGGTTAATTATACTAATAGTCCCTATAGTTTGGGACTTGTGTCATTTTGGTCTCTGACTTTTTAATTGTGACACATTTGACTCTAAATTTTGAATCTTGTTCCAAATAAGGATAATTGAAAATATTATTAAATTTTTCAAGGGTAAAATCGTCAATTTGATAAAACATAAACTAATTTGACAAAAATAAATGTCAAAAAAATATTTTTAATTTTTTTAAAAATATTTTTATCCACCAATGATAAAATTATGTAAAATTAACAAAAATTACATGATTAATTTTTTAAAATTAATTTTACATGATCATCATCCAAACACATAATAAAAATTAATTTGGTAAAAAAAAAATGTCTAAAAGATTTATCAATTTTACATAATTTTATTTTTAGTAGATAGAAATAATTTTTAAAAATTAAAAAATATTTGTTTGACATTTATTTTTGTCAAATTAGTTTATATTTTATCAAATTGACAATTTTACCCTTGAAAAATCTAATTATATATTCAATTGTCCTTATTTTGAACAAGATTCAAAATTCAGGGTCAAATATAGCCTCCGTTTGGGAAGTGGGTTGGCTTTTTAGCTTTTTGACTTTTTTGACTATATGAGCCTGGGCTCAAAAGCTTAGATTGGGAAGGGCTTTTGGCTTTTTGACTTTTTTGATTTTTTTGTGAGAGAAGAGTAATGATTATGGGGTTGGATGGGATGTTTTGTTTGTTGTGGCTCATGAGCCTGTTCTGTCTTTTATGGCTCATTAAGCCAAAAAAGCCCAATGAGCCCTTGCCAAACCAACCCTATGTCACAATTAAAAAGTTAGGGACCAAAGTGATACAAGTCTCAAACTATAGGGACTATTTGTGTAATTTGTCCTTGAATTTATATGTATTTAATTTTTAAAATACTTGTATAAGTTCATATTTTGCAAGAGAAAGCAATTGTAATTAAGCCCTAAAATTAATGGGTTAGCTCGGTGAATGAGACCCCTATTATTAGGGATGTGCATGGTGCGTTTTGGGTGATTTGAAAATAAAATTATAACTCAAATGATGGATTGATAGATTAGCAAATTGTGATTTGGGCAGCTTTGGACGGATTGACAGATTAAAGAATATTCTAATCGATTATCAAGAGTTGCATAATATATAATACTAATTTATAAAATATTTTTTTTATATATAACACAAACTAATTTTACATAATAGTTTTATATATATATAATTACTAATTTGTAATAAATTTTATATTTTAAATCTCTTTCACACTCATTTTTACTTTGATATTTCATTAGAGATTAAAATATATATATATATATATATTAACTATAGCGGAGTGGTTTTAAAGGCGGGTTATAAATTTTAAAATTTAATCTGCGATTAGTGGATAGACCAGTATAAATTTATACAGATTTGTGCGGTTTTAGCGGATTTAATAACAGTATTGCACAACCTTACCTATTATTAAAGGCTAGTTAGAGAAGTGATTTTTTTAGTTTTTTGATTAAAATGTGAGGTCAAAAAAATTAATTTAATTTGAGTTTTCTGAATTCATTTTTCATAAAATTGAAATTTTTTATTTTTCATATTTTATTTTATTTTCACTGAAATTTTTTAATATTTTAAGTAAATTTTTTTTTATATTTTTAGATATATCTAACATAAATATTTGTGAAAAAAATATTTAAAAAATTCACTAAGGCCTCGTTTGGGAACCCTCATTTTTAGCCAAAAAGTCAAAAAGTTACTAAATTAGCTAAAAAGCGAACAACCCATACCAAAAAGTCAAAGATTATCTTTTTTCTCTACTTTTTGCACATCTTTTCGTAAAAAGCTAAAAAGTCATCCCAAACATACTAGTTTTTTTTAGTTCATATTTTAGCTAAGGCCAAGTTTGGTATACTTGAAAAAAGACAAAAAGTTAAAAAGTCACTATTCTATTTAAGTCGCATCATCTTATTTAAGTCACATCGCCTCTCTAGCACATCACTTCAAACTCAACCCAAACCCAACCCATATTGTAGGACAATCTTCACTGTATTTAAAAGATTTAATTCTATTGTGTACACAACAACAAATAGAATTTAAAGAAATAAAGAAAAGGAGAGAATTTGTTTGATTACAAAAATCAAACTCGAAATAAAAATAAATAAATAAAAACAGATTTTATTTTGTTACAAAAACAAAATTAAAATCTGATTAAATAAACAAAAAGATAGTTTTGAAAATTAAAAATTTGTTTAGTTATAAAATTTTAAAAAAAGTTTTGGGATGATTTGTAGTGTTTAATTTATTTTTTTTAAAAGTTGAATAGACGAGTGTAAGAGAAAATTTGATTGATTGATGTGTAGAATGTGACAAAATGAAAGAGGAGAGAGAAAAATTGATTAATCGATTTATTAATAATTAAAAAAAAAAGTGAAAGAGAAGAGAGAAAAAAAAAACAATTTTCAAAAGAGTTTTGAAAGTTGGTTTCGTTTATTAGTAATTCAAATGGTATGTTTCGTTTGAGAACATACTATTTTAATAGTATTTGAATTTTTAAAAAAAGATATACAAAAAAAAAAGAATGATATGATAAATTATAATGATTTTTTAACTAAAATATTTAATCTTTAAACGAGACCTAAATATGCTTTTTTTTTCTTTTTTTGATCCAAAAGTTAATTTAAAAACTAAATGAAACGATACCTTTATAAGAATTAATATTACTATTATTATTTTTAATTTTTAATATTTTATAATTTAAATCTATTTTTGTCAAACGAAGCCTAAACATGATACTTGAATTGTAGTAGTATCCTTTTTTAAAACAAAATTAAAAAAAAAATCACATTTATCCAAACACTAGAGACATTACACGAATTTGAATCCAAATTACGCCGTTGATATGGTCAGTAGACCAAGCTAGAGGAAACGAGTACACATAAAAACCGTAAAACCCGTGGCATCATATAAAATCTTGTGTGGCCTTTAAATTAGCCCACATCTAGTGGAGAACCACAACCGTCAGATCATCTTACTTCCCGGTCAAACTTACTTCACACGTAAAGTACGAATCGTATCAAATTCAACACCTAAACGGTTATGATCTCACCCACATTTTTAATACCAAGCCACGTGTACGGTGATGGTAGAGCCGAACCGTGTTTTTTGCCTGGTTAAGGAATGTTTCCCCTTCGTTCATCTAGGAGATCGGATTTCAGGCTTTCCACACCGTCCGATCTTCCTCGAGATCCGAGTCTAAGTAGACCTGACAATCCAACGGTGAATATGAAAAGTAGTACGTACTTTATAGAACTGACTCCTTAGTTGACCACAAGTCTTCTCAGAAACTCCTCTCTCTATATATATACTCGCTTCCGACTCCTCTGTTTCTTCTCCACTCACAACCCATCCCTCAAACTTTCTCTCTCTAAATCTTTCTTTCTCTCTCTTCAATGGCTCACTCTGCCGTCGTGGTTGTTGCTCTGACGGTGATGTTTTTGGGATTAGCGATCGCTCAGTCGCCGTCGCACGCACCTGCATCGTCGCCGATATCGACACCGCCTTCCGTCGCTCCGACTCCTTCGACGTTGGTGAAGCCTCCAACTCAAGCACCGGCTCCGACCACAACTCCGCCGTCCTCCGCTCCTTCTCCGGGGGATGTGCCTTCTCAGTCCCCTCCTTCTCCACCTACTGTTTCACCGGCCCCTGAAGCTCCTACTCCGTCGTCGATCGCGAATCCTCCTGGCTCCGAAGCGCCTGCACCTGCAGAAAACGCCGCCGTTTCGAACAGACTCGCCATCGGATCTTTCTCCGCCGGTTTGCTAGCCTTCGCTCTGGTCGCGTAGATTTTTTTCAATGGAGTGATCGAATTACTATTAGTAGTGATGATATATTGTGTGCGTGTGTGTTTTTAGTTAGGTTTTATTATTATTATTATTATACTACATTTTGCATATGATAGACTCTTTGTTTGTTGATTTACATATCATTTGGTTTATGAAAAATGTTTGGTAGCGTGGAGTAATGATGTGGCAGTGAGTCCGCCCTCTTTCTATGTCTTGTTTTTATTTTTTTATTATTTTTAATGTATTAATGTTATTAGTGATATATTTTTTAGTGGTCTAAATCATTGTTGTTTGGTTTATATATTTAGTGTTATGATTTGGTTGTTATTAATTGATTTGATGTGATGTGATTCTTCTTTTGTTACTATCCAATGATCTTTTTTTTTAATAGGGATTTTAACTCTTTTTTTTTTATATAGTATAATTATTGTACTTAAAAAAAATTAATATTTCAAAATTATCTTTTGAAAATATATTTTTTAAAAAATATTAATGTCATAATTGTATTTTTATGTTGTTAATGAATTTAAAAGAAGGATAAAATAAAAAATTTATATTGTTTTTGTACTTAATTTTTAAAAATATACTAATATTTAGGGATAATAAAAAATAGAATAAGAGCCGGAGGGAATAGTTTTTTTCTGCTAATTTAATTTAGGTTAATAATTGCTTTGTTATGTTCATTTAACATGTTAATTGATATGATGTGATTATTCCTCCATCAGTTTTTTCTGCCAAATTTAACTTTAGGTTCTTAAGGGCCAATTTGGAATTTGACTAAAAACTAATTTAACTTTTAGTCTATTTTAAATCATATTATTTCTTTAATTTTTTATATATTTTTTTAAAAAAAATTCAATTTTTACGCTATGTTTAGGAACCTAGTACAAAAAAGAAAAGAAATGATTACTTAAATTATAAGAGAAAATAAATGAAAAGAAATGATTGTAATTTATCTCCTTCCTCTTTGGATAAATAAGAAATAAAAAAAGAGAAATAATTGTGATTTCTCTTCTTCTTATTTGGTTAGATTTCATAAGAGAAAAGAAAATAAAAGATTTTATGTTATATTATTAAAATAACTTTTTTATATTTTTTCAATCATTTTATATTTTATATTTTTATAAAGACAAAATTAGTATTATGAAAATTATAAGAATCTGTCGATTTTGTTTCTCTTCCAATCTCTCTACCTCTTGGAAAGATTGAAAATGAAAGTTATAAGAAATTTTATATCTTTTCATTTTTTTCAATTTCTCTTCACTTAAGTTATCAAAATAAGTAAGAGAAATAGGTATCTCTTTGGCTTGGTTTGGGAAGTAGGTTGACTTTTTGGCTTTTTGGCTTTTTTGGCTATTATTGAAAATGAAAGTTATAAGAAATTTTATTTCTTTTCATTTTTTTTAATTTCTCTTTACTTATGTTATCAAAATAAGTAAGAGAAATACGGATCTCTTCATTTCTTTTCTTCTCTCTCCATATCACTTAATCGAAATATAGTGTTAACAAACTTCTCAAGATTTAGAATGTTCATTTAACGTACTAATCAAACAATTAGATTAAAGCTAAACACGATCGAGAGGTAAGAGAGAGACTGAAGTACGATGTTTGGAATGAATGAATAGTTTTTTGCCATTTTGGACGTTTTCTATTTAATTTAAAAAATTAATTGGTTGGAGAACGTTTAAAGTTGGTCAAAAAGACGATTATTATGATTTTAGAAATATTTTTTGGTGCAGGTTTTTGTTTACTTTTTGGTGAGTGTGTACTTTCATGGATGCTAAAGAGATTACATTAGTAATATGGAGGGACCAGCTTTACATTATTTGTTCTTTTGCTTAATTTTCGTTGGTCTATTTCCGAGTTTAGAGAGGCGTCGAGTTTCATCGCTACATGTGATGTGATTTATGTCATTGTTGATATTGAGGCGAGACTGTTGTGTATTCTCTCTTAGGCCCGATATTTTCAAAAAAATAAAAAATAAAAAAAACAAAAAGACAAAAAAACTAAAAAATTATTAAAAAAATTAAAAAATTAATCACTATTCACTTAAAAAAATTATTTTTACGTACAACTCACTCTGACGTGAGTTGCTTTTACTTGACTTTGGTGAAAATAAATTATACAGGCTGAGTCAAGCTTAAAGACGGTGTTGTTTGGCCCGTGGGGGCCATCACAGGTTTTTTTTTGATAATCTGAACTGTTTAATATGTAGAACTCGTCGAGTACTACATGTTGATCGGATATCGCTAACTACATGATCAAATCAGTTTTGTATAAAAAAAAGATGGTGTTGTAATTAACGGTTGACAAAAAACTATTATAATTCGATAACTATTGATATCCAATCAACGTGATTTTTTACAAATATATAATACTCAACGATTTTTACATATTGAACGGTTTCGATTACCAAAACGAGACCTGTGATGGGTCCTCACGGGCCAAACATCACCGCCCAATTCAATGCCCGAAAGGAGGCAAGCATATCCTATCGCTAGTCTGCCCACCGTATTGCCTATTCTTCTCTCTCTTCTCCTATGTACTAAATTATACAATTTTTTAATAGACATTTTTTCGTAAAAAGTCAAAAAGTTATCTCAAACAATCACATTTTTTTCCTCAACTTTTTAATCTAAAAATTCAAAAAAATACACTTATTTAAGACCAGTCGAAACAAGCCCTTAATTTACAAGAAATCATTCAAAACTTAATTTTGATATTATGTTAAAATATTCAATTCAAATGAGGAGTGTCTGGAATAGTTATATAAAGTTTGAGTGGCTTATGAATCCCTTGTAGGACAAGTCTAACAATCATATTGTGACATTCTAAATTCATGTCTTCATATCCCATCAACATCCTAGACCCATGAAGACATTTTAGTAAATTCAACGTAAAATTTATTCATCATGCAACTACAAGATAAAGGCACGTAATGAATATTGTGCAATGAACACAACTCACTTTAAATCACAAAATTGAAAAAAAATTTACGAAAATTAGTGGTGATTTTTACTTGGTAATTTGTTTTGCAAATTCCACTTCAACTGTAATTTTTTTTAAAACTTTGACTAATGCTATATGTATCAATTAGTGTGCGTGTATTAATTGATGAGGTAATATAATTTAAGATGTTCTTGATATTTATAATTTGTATAATAAGTAGGGTTAATAATAATGTTATAATTAGTGTTGGTACACTAGTTAGTACACTAATGCTGTGTTTGGTCGAGGGATTTGGGAAGAGATTTGGAAAGGGAAAGGAAAAAGGTGTGTGAAATTAGGTGAAATGTAGGTATATTTTATTCATATTTCACCAAACTTTTCCCTTTCTCTTTCCAAATCCCTCTTCAAATCCTCCAACCAAAGACAATGTAATGGGTACATATAGCACCACTCTAAAACTTTCCCGTTGATTTATAATATTTGCTCAAAGACTACTGTTATTTTATTTTTCCTACAATTTATGATTATGTATGATTTTTCCAAACTTATGAAGCAATTTGGCCTTTAAAACTAGCCATTAGATTAGCAAAATGAAATATGAGTCAAGAGGCTAGCCATAGGTGGTAAGCACTGTGGTTTTGGGTTCCAAACTGCAGTTAATTATTTTTTTTTTTGGCGAAGCAAGTTGGCAATTTTCACCTCTGTTTCTGCCAAATTTTTTTACCCTAAAAATGGTTTTCAATTGTAATAAGTAGAAAGAAAATTGAAATATATATATATATATATATTTTCACAATTCTCGCTTGCTTTTGTGTAAAGGAATACCATATATAGAAGACACTAGGGCCCTGTTTGATTCCAGGATATAAATAGTAGGATTGGATATTATATCCTGTGAGATCCACATATCTCATGTTTGTAATTTTTTTTGAAAGAGGATATAATATCCCATGGGATTGTATATTTCTCAAAAGTGGAGGATATACAATACCACCACCCCCCATTATATCATATCCCCTTGGTTGGGATATGATTTAAAAAGTCCAATTTATCCTTTTGTCTATTTAACATAATATAATTTAATATATTTTCTGAATATAATATAATATAATTATTGAATTTAATTTAATATTATTGAATTTAATATAATATAAATATTATTGAATTTAATTTCATATAATATAATATTATTTAATTTAATTTAATTTAATATAATATAATTTAATTACAAATTTTGAATTTAATATAATATAATTTAATAATATAATGTTATTTAATTTAATATAAAACAATTTAATACAAATTTTGAATTTAATATAATATAATATTATTGAATTTAATTTAATATAATATAATTTAATATAAATTTTGAATTTAATATAATATAATATTATTTAATATAATATAATATAATATTATGAGGACAATCTTTGAAATTACTTGTTTATATCCCACAATATATTTTTTAAAACAAACATGGATAATATATATCCAATCTTATATATCAAGTCAACAAACATGGCTTGGAGGATATATTATCCAATACTTATATCCTGTTCATTATATATTCTGACTAAATCTCACATCATATTATATCCTTCATTTTATATCCAGTGAAACAAACACACACCAAGATGCATTGTATATTTGCCTATTTTTTGTCAGATAATTCTGCTCCACCTTCATACATTGTATCCTGACCATTGCTATCATCATTACTTGTAAAAAATGAGTCATTGTGTCATTTTTTGGGTTTATTTGGAGGATTTAGAAAGAGATTTAGAAAGAAAAAGAGAAAAAGTAATTGAAATGTGAATAAAATATATCTATATTTTTTTTTATAATTTTATACACATTTTTTCTTTATTTTTCTAAATTTCTTCTCAAATCTCCTAATTAAACACAGCGTAAAAGTTTAGCCCTTTGTTTTCCTTAGAAAGTCTACAATAATTAGCTACAATTTTATTCCAGAAACTCCCTTAAGCCCTCATTTGTGATGAACGACTTTAGTTTGGTTTTTTTAATTATTTTAATTTGGTTAAAAAGTTGTGTTTAGAATAAATAAAAAGTTAAATGATTATTAAGAGGGGAGCTTTGTGCTGCGCTAAAGAGGCCGAGATACGATGGGCCAAGCTCAATCCACCGCTTTGTGGGTTAGCTGGGCCATGCCAAAGGCGGGCTTGGGAATGGCTTACAAAGTTGACCGAGCTTCCTCTGACCGGGCGAGATG